TCCTCCAAGTATTTCTAAACAGATGAAATCAGATTATGGGAAACAGTAAGGGCCCCTTGAAGAGAAGTCTAAACAGCCTTGAAAGGAGAAGGGGAGAGCTCCAGCCACGCCACCCCCGGGCTGACTGCAAAATGCCAAATGGAAACTCCTTTCCCTTCCACTGTCTCTCCAAATCCAAATTCAAAGCCAGCTAGAGCTAGGGTTACAGGGTGACTTTGACTTTTCATTTTGCACTTTTCTGTAATTTTTAAAATTTTTGAACACCTGTGTTGATATTGTTTTTATAATTACAAATGATCACCAGAGAACGTTCCCTGATCTGTTGAAAGGGGCTTTGGTCACACCCACGCTGATGGATGTACACTGATTTCAATCAAAGTGTGCTCGTGCCTTTTTGTTATCATGGAACTTCAGAGAGCGCCACTGCCAAATGCAGCTGCAGGGCCTGTGCCGGGGAGGCAGGCTACAGGCTGCCTCGCCGGAAAGTGAGCATTTTGTAAGCTGCAGCCGGTGGGGGGGTCCCTTTAGAAGAAAAATGGAGATGGTAGATCTTCCAAAAAGATGCTCTGTGACTAGCTGAAGGTTTCTCTTTCAAATCCCTTTTTAAAACAAAAATCCCATCTATGCTCTCCTTTCTGTCTAAACCTCGTGCCTGAGGAGGGTGTATTTTGGAGGAGAAGCAGCCGGGATCTCCCGTGGAAGCCCGCTGCCCTGCAGAGCTGGGCACAGCCATCACCTGGCACCGCCGGCGCTACGGTGTCCCCCTTCCGCCTCCCAGGTCAGGATCCAAGGAGCTGGGTGCTTCCCCGGCCGACCGCTGCTTGAACTCTAGTCCTCCTCACTTCCTCAACACTTCAGGACCCTCCTGCCTGTGGTCTACACGCCCCTCCTAAGTGTGGTCCCCGGGCCACCACGCAGATCCCCTGGGAGCATGTTGGAAATGCAGAGTCTCAGGCCCCACCCCACACCGACCGAATTGGAGCCTGCATTTTGTTTTGTTTTTAACAAGATCCCAGGGGGGTCGTGCGCACTTCCAGTGAGACGCCTCCTCCCAGATGCGGTCTGGGAGTGCACCTGCATCATCTGAAACCACCAGCTTTCTGAGAAGGCTACCTCCAATAGGGCTCCTACTGTGTGACATTCTAGAAAAAGCAAAACTAGGGAGACAGCCAGTGGCTACTAAGAGTTGGATCTCAGGGGAAGGACGGAGGAATCGGTGGAGCACAGGGGATTTTTCGGGGGCAGTGAAACGACTCTGTGAGATGTCATGGTGGGTACGTGTCCTATGTGTGTCAAAACCCAGAGAGTAGCACAGAGTGAGCCCTGGTGCAAGCTGTGGACGTCCATGAATCCTGATGTCCTGGGTGCTCCTCAGCTGTAACAAAAGCATCACATGGGTAAGATGCTAATGATGAGGGGGAAATAACAGAGTCGGGGTGAGGGGCCATATGGGACCTCTCTATACTTTCCACTCGTTTTTCTGTACCCCTAAAACTGCTCTAAAGAGTCTTAATTAGACAATAACAACACTGGTGGGGCTTGAGACATTCTCAGTCTGGGGTGAGGGAGACGGTCCCTGAACTGTCTTTGCACCGCTTCCTCTTGCCCAGTGCGAACTGCTGTGGCCACTCTGCTCCACAGCTGGGCAGGACCCAGGCTGGTGGGGAGGAGACCCCCATGAATGAGAGGGAGGGGCCGGGACGCTGTGAGCGCCTGTGCTCCCGCCAGGATTTGCACGCACCTTCCAGAGTGATCCCTCGAGGGGGCAGCCCTGGGTTTAGGGAGCTCAGATTTAGAAAGAGAAGTGGACCAAACCCAAGCTGTGCTGTAAGAACGGGCGGAAAACACAGAGGCAACTATTTTGTGCTCTGGTAAATGTATCAGGAACTATTACTCCTCCTGGGAGAATGTGAAATACGGCACAAAGTCTAAATGTCTGTGCTAATATGTGCATCTTAACAGCTTTTGTCTAAACATGAATTTAATTAAACAGAATGTTACAGCGGGATGTGTGAAGAGTGATGGGAAACTGCCTGACATTTTGGGAGCCCCCTCCAGCCACAACAGCATAATCCACTCGAGCGCGCCTGACCCAGGGAAGGAATTCACCCCCTCTGTTGGTAGAGCAGCCGGTTGTGCCTAGAAATCCCGAGGTCAGGAATGGAGGCGGGGAGGACGTGGGCTGTGGACAGACCCTGCTCAGCCCGCAGTCCTTGACAAGACAGCCATGTGCAAATACAGACACCTAATCTGAGGTCGGTACAAATGCTAACGGTACAAAGACATCCTTGAGACGACAATTGATTCAGTCTCTCTGTGGGTCGGGTCGCAAATCCTGCTCTAAAATCATCTCTGGGAAGCCAGCAGGTGGCAGCTTGGGAGGCAGCTGGGAGGCAGCTCTGGGTCGCTCTGCAGGCTGTGTTCCCTCTGGGGTGTTCCCAGATTTCCCACAAGACCGCATGCCGCCAGCCACTGACTGTTAGTCAATAGGAGTCGTTAGGTTTTCTTGTTGGCTGGGGTCCCGGGCGCCGTCTTCTTCACGGTTGTGGAGCTGGGCTGAATTTTGCTCTTCCCGACGCTCGGCTTCTTCTGTTTCTGGTTGTTTTGAAGCGACTTCAGCCCCAGCATTTTACAATACTTGTTACACTGGTGTAGCGCTTTAAACTGATCAATGAAGGTCATGGAACAGTTGCCTTTAAATCCTCTGTACCTGTGAGTTTGGGTGGAGGAAAACAATCTTTAGAAACAGGACTCTTCACCGATGTTAAAAGAAACAAATCAAAGGGGAAACTAACAGCACGTGGAACATGTATTTATTCCTGCTTTAGGCAAGGGTCGCCAAGTGGTTGACAAGACTATGGAGAGAAAAGACAAAACCTGTGCAATTAAGGAACGGCAAAGTCCAGCCAGTGTGCACAGCAAAGATCAGAGACTAAGATAAGACAGGTGTTCTAGGTGCTGGCAGTTTTGCTATGTCAGCATTTTATAGCTTTTTTTTTTTCCCCCTTAGTGTCTAGTGCTGGACCTTCGTGATAAAATGAGATCTCTTGGTGATCTAAAAGCCACTGCATCCCACCCAAAGGTTCTGAATAAAGAAGTTTAGAACTTCGGGGCTGGAAAAAGTGATCAAGTTTAGACCCTTCCAACTTACTAAAGGAATTTAGGCTGAGAGGTCATGGGCCAGCCTAGGACAATAAGGCAAGTGGGTGTGAGAGACAAGACTAGCAAGCTGCCCCGTCTTCCTCCTACCGGAGGGCTCTCTCCTGTGCCACTGCACCTTCTCTCCCCCGAGGAGAAGCATCTGGCCTCTGTCTCTGGCAGGCTGCAGAAGGAACCATGCTGACCGGCCCAGGAGTGGCCTCAGGGGCTGTTCCTTTTGGTTGGGACATTTCATATTCAAATTGTAAATGACTGTGTTTTCACATCTCAATCATGGTAGGTTACTGTCCTCCTTGAATGGACAAGTCCCCAGGACCCCAAATCCCCTCAAGATCCAACAAGAGAGCTGGTGGAAGGCATTGTCAAGATGACGAAATGAGACAGACATAGAATACAAACTTGTGTTTGCCAAGGGGCGGGGGGCTAGGAAGGGACAGACTGGGAGTTCGAAATTTGTAGATACTGACAGGCATATGTAGAATAGATAAACAAGATTATACTGCATAGCACAGGGAAATATATACACGATCTTGTGGTAGCTCACAGCAAAAAAGAATGCGACAATGAATGTATGTATGTTCATGTATAACTGAAAAATTGTGCTCCACGCTGGAAATTGACACAACATTGTAAACTGACTATAACTCAAAAAAAAAAAGACGATGAAATGAGAAAATCCACAGAAACAACCTAGATCAGTGCATGACACACAGTGGATGACATTCAATTCACATTGGCCTGGCGTGGTGCAGCTGATGGGGGCTTCCTGTGGACCGGATGTTGAAGCTGAGACTGAGGGTATGGGATTAGCCAGGTACAGAGGAGAGGCAGGGGTGTGCATGGCACACGAGACCATCGATATAATTTGCAGGGCCCTGTGCCAAATCAAAAACCTGGGTTCCGTGATAATTAAGACTTTTAGCGGAACATGCAGTAAACGAAGCCCAGGGCCCATCTGAGTGTGGGTCCTTGTTCGGCTGCACAGGCTGTCCATCTAGGAAGCCAGTCCTGCTGGGCATGAGCGAGTTCTGTGTTTAGGAGGGCCAACATCCAACTGGCAAAAAAAAACAAAAAAAAACAAAAAAAACCAACCCAAAGTCTGTAATACTGGTATCGCACTGAATCTGTAGCTAATATGATTCAAGAAATTTGCCACCTCCTTTTGCTGGCAGAAATCATAAAGGTCAACAAACCTGAAATGAATGAGTTGAGATCTGTGGACTTGCCCCTAGGAAATGCAAGCTGGGTTTTAAGCTGTTAAGGGCATGAAAGGTTACTTTCATCTCTAAAGCCAAAGCCTCAGCGAGCAGCTCCATCCTGACACGTTTGTTACGAATCCAGCCTGCCCTTCCCCACCCCTCCACCCAGAAGCCCACAGTCCACGGTCTTGTGAAGAATGACTCCGTTTTAAAAACCAAGATCCCTCGTTGAAGAAACAGTCAGCCTAAGACAGATGTTGAATCTAGCAGGGTGGGAAAAAAAATTCCACTGCCAACCATGTCATCTTTACATCTCTATCCTCTCCCGTAGGAGACCACGAAAACAGCTGAAATTGCCTGTCTGCCTGCGTTTCCTTCGTGCCTAAGCTCTCCCTGGTGGGATGCGAGGTCATCTGGACCAGCAATTGTCAGATCTGATGGAAGGCCCAGTCCTGACCTTGGTTGGGAGTGGTGCACACAGATGACCCAGGGGCCTTGTTAAAGTGCTGGTTTGGATTCAGGAAGTCTGGGGTGGGGTCCAAGCGACACAGGCCTGATGCACAAAGCACTTAGGGTGTCAGGAAGTTCTGCGCCAAATCCCCTTGCTTCCTCCCCTCCTGGCAGATTCATGCATTGCGCTGAATAGTCTGCCTGGAGTCACCACACACAGCGTGTGCACACCCCGTACATGCAAACGTGCACACACAAGCCTACGGGTGTGTTTCTTGATTCCATCCCACGTGTGCTTCAGTCCCTCCTCTCCAGGTGTGGTGGTGTCTCGGAATTGTGACTGGGTTAAGCCCCCAGGCGGCTGTCGTCCCTCTGCCCTCAGCACACAGCCCTCCCCAGTGAGCTGCCCTTGGCAGGGCGGGGGGCCTTCTGGAACTCCGCTGACTGCACATGGGCATCTGTGTTCATGTTCCTTGTCTCATGGCTCACAGGACTGCTTTCTTAAGGCAGTTGTCCTTCCCCAAGCCTGCGTTGATATGGGCTCTTATCCCGTCACATCTGCCCCTCTTAGTGGGGAACAAGCCGTTTGTGATTCTGTCTGGGGTCTCCTGAATTTGGGTTCCAGGTCAGGGGTGCCTGACACATGCCATGCACCCTACACCCCCGCCCTCTTTTCTTCCAAAAGTAGAGCTGCAAGGCTGGCGGCCACAGGGTGGGGGGACCTCTGTGGCTATTCCTATCTGTCCTATTTAGGTCCAATGCTTACTGCTCAGAGTACTTTGGTTTTTCTTCAATCCACCAACACAAAATGGGTTTTTTCGGGAGAGTAGAGTGGATGAGAGTAGTGGCTCTGGCGCCCTCTGGTGGCTAAACTGCAGTCTCGTTATCTCCCCAGAAACTCAACTGCTGGCTGGGGACAGGCGTGTGTTTGCAGGACCCGCTGTGACATGTGCAGCTCTACTCCCCACCCAGGTGTTGGCTTACACTGATTTTGGTTTGTTTACCTTAAATTTTAAGATCATACTCCCGGGTAAAGTTGCATTAAAATGAATAAGTCGTGACAGTCCCCTATTTTCTAAGATCAGAAATGATTTACCCTTAAAAATAGTATCATACCTTCTAACTTCACTAAACAAGAGAACAAGCCATTTACTGGGGTGTCTGCAGCCAAACATATGGTTGAGGTTGAGATAAGGGAGTATTTTCTTTAAATGACCCAACGCCTCCTCTTCCTGCAAAAGGTCCTGATCAGTGCTGGCCAAGAAAGAGTGGACCTTAAATTTGGGAGATTTCTTTCTTTCTGTTTTAACTGCATTCTTGATAATTATTAAAGTCAGATTTGCCTCCTGTTTCTCCCCCTACGCCTGGCGTTCTTTCTAGTGCCGTTAAAAGAACACGTGTAACGCCGCCCACACAGAGCCCTGCTTCCTAGGACAGGAGCACCCGTTCTACAGGCCACTGGAGAGCAAGCGACTCTCCCTTTCCAGTGTGGATGAATGAAGCCCACGCAGGGCGCTTGCTGAGAATCAAGAGTGCGCCCGATCAGTGCTTAGCCACCAAGCTCCTCTCCTGCTCTCGGAAGCCCTCTGGCATGTGCCAGGCACCCCAGCCTTTCCTTCCCCTGCTCACGATGGCTTCCCACTGGACTTCTCTACCTGTTTGCAAGCTGCCTTTGCAGTCTGAACCCTTTCCAAGTCTCTCCCATTGACTGGGCTCCAGTCTGCAGCTTTGGCTGTCGATGGAGAACTTTGCCCCCTGTTCCTCAGGGCGCCTTACTCCATGTAGCCCGTGAGCAGGCTGCCTCCTTTCCCTGAACCTCCTCCTCCACTGGGAAGTAAGGTCGGATGGACACACGTCCTCGGGGTCTCCAAGTTTCCCCTTGTCCGTTCAGGAAAATTTCCTCTTTCAGCTTTTCAAACTGTGCTAAGAAACATTTCTTTAGGGAAAGAAATTGTGGCTTAAGAAGTTTAAGTAAAAGTTTTAAAAATGGACAAGATGATCCAGTATCCGTAATATCTCTCAGATGCTTCGGGATTCCCTTCTCTCCTCCCTGCTCCTCCCTGACCACTCCTCGGGAGGGAGGCAGTGAGCAACCCTTTACAGACAACATTTTGCTCTGGGCTCCAGCTATCGGCTCTAATGGGGGCTGGGCAGCTGTCCCAGGCCAGAGAAGTCACATTAAAGCTGAGAACAAAACCAAAGGGATTGGATTTCTTTTTAAATTAGGAGGAAAAAAAATATGGTCTAGGTTTCCTGGCAGCTGTTAGGAGGCTTTTAAAAGATGTCCTCAATAATCACACTCTTTAGCTCATCTCAGTGTTTGAAACTTCTTGGACAGGTTTCTGCTTCGTTTTGGTAGAAAGCGGTTTCAAATAATGGTATGGAATTTGCCTACTCTGTTGTCGGGTTGAGGCATCAGGGGCAAAGGAAACCAAGATTAATTAAGCACAGACTGAGCTTCAGGGACTGGAGGTAGACGAACCAGGAGAATCCTCCAGACAACCCCCCGTCCTCATGCTATAGATCAGGGGCTTCGAGAACTGAGTCTCGTGTCCTCAGAGCTGGTAAGATAAGAAGCCAGCATTCAGACCAGGTCTGGATGATGCCCAAATCTGCAGTGTCCTGCAAGGAATAAGGAGCCTGTGAAGGAAAATTTTAACTTGGGCAATTCTTCTGGGGTCTAGGAAAATCCCTTTGCAAAGAGAGGCATTGTCTAATTTATTTTTGAAACGGGGAAACTTTTCCTGGACAAATGACTAGCTAGGCAGAATGCTGGGATGGCAGGCATGACATGGTGCTGTGCTGGGCAAACCAAGATGTACCATCGCCTTCCCATCACGTGGGCCAGACACATTCCTATGACAAGAAGCAAGGCTACCACAAAGAGAATCAGAAGCAAGTGGCAGGACCAGGATCTGAACCCAAGTCTCTGAAGCCCCTGTTCTCCTCTCCTGACCTGTTCTCTTCACAAGCCCAAGGCCAGGTCCCAACGCCCTGACCCATTCAACATTTAGGGCTCAGCTCAGCCGCGGGGATGGAGTACAGAGACAGTTCCGACACAAAGCTGTGCTATCCTGAGCAGATTTTGAGAAGAGGAACATTCAAACCGCATCCTACTTCTAAAACCAAATTAGAAGCATTCGTGTAGTTGGTGAGAACTTCACGAGTCAGACTGATTAACATGAAAGTTAAGAGAAACAGTGGTTGGCCTTCTAGAGTGCCTCTCACAGGGCAACTAACCAATCCACAGCCCGTGCCCACTGCTTCCTCTACTGGGGTCTCACACTCTGGGCCACCATTCACCTCCCTAGACACCCCAGGGCAGGTGCCAGATGACTTCAGACGGGCCCTTACACCCAAGAACCTGCTGGGATAGTTCAAGTTAAGTCAATTCCAAGCCTGTTTACCCCCCTGCCCCACCCATTCCTTCCCCTGAAATCCACAAAAAACCTCTTGTCTGTGTTTTCTCTTCTCTCCTTCTGCCTCCTGACTGACCCTGGTGCTTCCCCCATGGAGCCCCCCAGGGCCTGGCCTGCCCCCTCCTCTTGAGAACTGAGCAACAGCTGTCTCCTTAGCACAGTTGTCTCCTGATCTGTTGCTTTCAAATCTGGACAGTAATAAAACCTACTTCTTTTTTAATTGACATATAGTTGATGTACAATAAGTTACAGGTGTATAATGTAGTGATTCACAAGTTTTAAAGGTGATACTCTATGTACAGTTACTACACTGGCTAGATTCCTTGTGTTGTGCCATACATCCCTGTAGCTCATTCCATACCTCCTGGTTTGTATCTCTTAGTCGCCCTCCCCCTTCCCCGCTGGTTTTTACTCTGTATCTATGAGCCTGCTTCTTTGTTGTATTCACTAGTGTGTTGTATTTTTCAGATTTCACATAATCAGTATCATACAATATTTGTCTTTATCTGACTTATTTCACTTAGCATAACGCCCTCCAAGTCCATCCCTGTTGCTGCAAATGGCAAAATTTCATTCTTTTATGGCTAAGTAGTATTCTATTGTGTTGTGTGTGTATACACACACCCACACACACACCCACAGCTTTGTCCATTCATCCGTTGGACACTTAGGTTGCTTTCCGTATCTTGGCAATTGTAAATAATACTGCTATGAACATGGGTGCAGGTATCTCTTTGAATTCCCATTTTTTTTCCAGATATATACTCAGGAGTGGAATTGCTGGGTCATATGGTGGTTCTATTTTTAGTTCTTTGAGAAACCTCCGTACTCAAATCTACATTTCAAAACACAAGCCATTCCTTCTAAAAGTCACTTGCCCCCTCATCTCTTCTTCCTTACGAACGGTCCCTGCACACGGGAACAGGAGCAAGGGGCGAAGGCACGGTAGCTCCAACTAGAACTTTATTTTCACCAAGAATCACAAACAGCCTGCTTTCTCCTCACTGGTGGTCAAGTAGAGCAGCCAAAAGGGACAGGATGTTAACGAGATCCCCCAGTACAATGTTATCTTAGTGCCCCTTAGGCACACTCCACAGTGAGCAAAGCAACACCCTATGCTAAATTAGGAAAACAAAACCATTAACAGCACACACAAAAAAAGTCGCTAAATCACAGCTCTCCTGTAGCCATTTGCTCCTGTAATCTTCACCATGGAAGTCTGGAAGCTGCCCAAAATACTTTTTGTTGAAAAGTACGGGGAAAACACATCAAAGTGTGCAGACTGAATTCACTGCCCTCAGTTGCAAGTGTATTTTAAAGATGTTTCTAGTAGTGAAGATATTAAATGCAGAAAAATGGGATCTTTATGCTGGCATTTCCCCCACCATGGCACTCCTGTTAGTAATTAATCTTGAAATGTGTATACAGAGTTCTGACTTGTTTCAAAGTTAGGAAACAAACGTTTCGCCGGGGAGAACAAAGTCCATAAATATTTTAGGTAAGAGAGACGTGAACTGAATTCCTCCCAAGAACATCTGTCATCCACAGTTAGGACAAGAGGTCTCCTCTGCCAGCATCAGCCTGCCAGCATCTGCCCGGGAGGTGTTTGGAAACCCAGAGTTGAATGATACACTCTTTTTTTCTACTCACCCTTTAGCCAGTGTTGCTATGCCAACGTCAGTTAACTTCATTCCTACACCTATAAGAAGAGAGCAAAGACGGGATCTGTGTTACACCGGGCTCCTCAAAAAGGGCGGGCCATCTGTTCATGGGAGAGAGTGACAGCCCCAGCACCACCTCCCTTCCTGCATGAGCACCCGCTTCCCTCCTTGTTCCCATCAGAGACGCTGACAGGCTTCCAGACGTGCATCCAGCTTTATGGGACTATGATGGGGAAGGCAGGGCTCTGACGCAGCCCTTCAGGGGACTTGGGGGCCCTCTGGGAAGGGAAGTGATGCCCTTTGCCTGCCTGGCCCACCCCTGCTGGTGGAGGCAGGAGGCCAGCCCTCTATGAATGACTCCGAGGCCCGTCACTTGTCCCATGAGCTCTCTCCCCAGTGATGCCCTGGTTGGGGCTTAGGTCTGTTCCTTGTTCTTCACGGGAAGTCGAAACCCCTGCACAACAGAAGGTGGAGTGGGTGTGGGCGGGGATGGCCAAGCTCAACAGCGAGAGAGTTCAGGATGGCACGTGTTTAGTTCAAGGGCAGCCTCCAGACACAGGATTTCCCATTTCCTTAGACAGAGCTTTCTGATTCAGAATTGAAGATTTTCTGGGTTGGCTTTAGACCCAGGGAAACACTCCTGAGTCATACGTAGACTTTAACGTTGGCCTGGAGGTGTCGATGCGTGTCTCCCGCGGTCTAATCCTTTGATACTTATCCTGACCCCTTCTCCGTTAAGCCACTGGAAGTTGGGAAGGGTTGGGTGGGACGGGGGTGGGGAGCAGCATCTACAAAACAGCTGCCTGAGCCTCCCAGCCCGGTTCAGTAAAGAGCCACAGGCGTCCCTGGTAGGATCCCAAGCACACAGGCGGGGGAGGGGGTGTCTGTATGCTTCTGCCCTCCCTGCAGGAGCTCTTGGGAGAGTGGCTGGGGAACCAGGAAGTCAAAGAAAATGGAAAGCACTATAGTCTTGCAAGGAGGGGAGGGGCAAGACTGCCACCACCACCTGCGGAAGAGTCTGCCTGCTCTCACCTGGGTCTGGAAGGCAATCCTCTGATGCCCCAGGGGTGGGTGGCCTCTGGCCTTTCCAGAGTCTCCTTGCCAGACCCATTCTCTTCCTGCCTCTGCGGGGTGCTGGCTGGAGCCACTGGCGCCAACCCCGTGGCCCTCCGCCTAATCTCACCCACGCAGTCTAGTGACAGGCCTTTCACAAGGGCACAGGGTCCATGGTGCTGGGCCACCTGGGTCTTCCCTCCTCTTCTCTTGCACCACCCAGGCCAGGCCATGGTCACTGTATCCCCATGGCCAGCAAGTGACCTGCTTGCTGAGGGGCCCGCAGCCCAGAAGCCAGCCTGGGCTGGGGACAAAGGAAACGGCTTTCCTGGCAAATGCCAACTCTTATGGGTCAGGTCTGATGGCAATCTAGTCCCAAAGGTCTCCACCGCTGAGCCTTGTTCTTTGAGGCTCAGAAAAGCCAAAGGGTTAATGCTCTGATTCAGCCACGTCCACCCAGAATGCGGCAAAAACACAGGCCGTGCTGCTGTCGAGGCTGGCTCACCTGGCTTCTCTGCCACACTCCACACGGCCCTCTGGGTGAGCCAGCAAGCATTTTAAAAGCCCCTTTCACAGCTGGCAACCACTTCATCTCATTCTTTCAAAGCTGCTAACAACTAGAACATACGTGGAAATACTTCATGTAGTTTTTATGGTAGGAACTGCTTTCACAAAAACAAAAAAACCTGAATTGCAAAAGCCCCCTCTGGACGCACTGTTTCATGGAAAGTTGTATTTCAAAATTACAGCTCTAAGCTGCACGGAAGTCCAACCGTAAGACGTCATTTGGCAAAACGTCCTTGAGCTTGAGTTTCTTTTCCTCGAGTCTCACAATTACCAGTTGTCACTGACGTGTGGAAAAGTAGAATATGATTTTCTCTCTCCGCTTAATAATTTGCCAGCAATTCAACCGAGGTTATTAAGGGTCTCTAGAGGATAATCATTTAAAGCATAGCGTGCAGCTATTAAACTGGGCTGGGGGTAGCAGTCTACAGGTTGTTTCTGGTGGAAGGCCAGAAGAAGACAACAAGTTTGTTCTCTGGAATTCGAGTTTTTGGGTAATTTGTGGGGCTGCTTCTTAGGAACCTTGGCGGTGTCACCAGTGTGCAGACCTCAGGGCCAGATCACAGGCCCAGCTTTCACCCCACAAACCTAGGACTTAGGGTTTCGTCTTAGGACTCGCCACGGTCCCATCAACAAATGAAGGCAACCAGGGAGAGAAGAACTTAAGAGTCTGAGACGGGGATGGTTGAGCTTGGTGCTTGTTTGGGATTTGAAAATCCTACTTCCAGGGCCTCGGTAAAATTATAAACCGTGGGGACTGTTTAGAGAGTGGCTGCGTTGTCTTGTGCTACAGTGATGCTATCAGATTTTTCCCGGGCACGGCAGAGAATAAACGCCATCATGAAACACGCTGCCAACATCTGAAACCCCGCAAGTCACTTACAGGGAGACAGAACGTTCCTCTACAGCTGTTCACTAGTGCCTGGGAGCAACTCTAGCCTTGCATGAAGCCCCGGGGTGTTGCTTTTCAGCAGGAGAACTACATCTAATGCAAAATTAACTTCAAAGGAGGAAAGACGGGAAAATCTCAACAGTTGTAGAGACAGTCCAATTAGAATAGAGAGCTGTCTGTTAAGACCATATTTATGTGTGTGTGTTAGCAAAGCCTCTTCAGAAAGTGAGGGGATAAAGCTTCCTCCAGCCCAGTCCCACGTGCAGGACTGTAACATTGCACTTCCCAGCTGACCTTAAAGGAGCTCCTCCCAGGAGCCTTTGACATCTAGAGACGCTTGTAAGTTTGAGGTTTAGTGGAAAGACCCTGGGGTTCAGAGTCAGAAATAGTGTGTTGGAGTCTTGGAGGCCTCTTCTTAGCTGGCCGAGTGACAGGAGACTATTTTATCATTGTCTCCAAGCCTCTGTTTTCTCATCTGTAAAATGGGGATCAAAACATCCATTTTGCAGGGTTATTATGAAGATTACACAGAAATAGGAAGAAATGAGTGCACACAGAAACGTGAAATCCAGGTAGGGTCTCGTTCATTCTATTCTGCCGGGGTGACCCTCCTGGTTTTGATAACGTGCTGTGAGGAGGTAAGAGGTTATCGTTAGGTGAAGCTGGGTGAAGAGTAAATGGAACCTCTGTCCATTTTTGCAACTTCTTGTGTTTACGGTTATTTCAAAATGGAAAGTTTTAAAGATAGGGAACACTTACATCAATGCTGCACTAAATGTTTGACTATCTCATTTAATCCTGACAGCAACCCCTGGTGGGAAGTACTGAGGCCCAGAGAGGTCAGTGATTTGCCCGAGGCTAACAGCTAGGAAGCAGAGGCACAGGGAAGAGAACCCACAGGCAGTCTGGCTCCTCACCACTGTGCTGTAGACAGAGCTTGGGGTCCTTGTCCGTGACAATGTCTGACACCGGCAGGTACACAATTATAGTTTAGGCTTCTCTCAACAGCATTATTATTTGAGAAGGAATAGGAAAACCTCAGTAGCAGATGCTTTACCTCCAGCTGCCAACAAATGCATCTCTGCCTGAGAACTTTCTCTGATCACAGGAGCCTGCTTTGCTCAGCATGGCTTGCCCACGTGCAGGTGTGAAGTGCAGGGGAGCTAACACCCCCATCAGGAGCAGCCTTCTGCTGGAAACTAAAGGGAGTTGGTATATAAATACACTTGCTCCTTCACTCTGTGGCATAATTCTGAGATGTGTGTTCTGCCCAGCCTCCCAGAGTTTCCTCAGCAGGCAATGAGCTCCAGTAATACATAGTGGTAACTGGGTATATTATAAAGGTACCCTATCGACTTACTTTCCCTCCCCTGTCACACTTCCTCACTCTCCTACCAGCATTTCCTGGGATCCCCTCCCAAATATTTGCACTTGAATATTCACATGCAATGAAGATTAACTTTGCCTAAACAGAGGATTGCTTTTGTCCAGCTTTTGAGAGGTAACTGCTAAGCTCTGATAAAAGTGCGCTTGTCTACCTGGTGCCTGGGCCATGGGATGTCAGCTTGACCTCAAAGAGGCTAGAGACTGAAGTCAATCTCACAGGGAATCAGTCATGCCTACGTGATGGGTCCCTAGCAAAGTTGCTGAACACCAAGGCTGGGGTGAGCTCTCCTGGCTGGCAGTCCCCCATGCATATGGCCCCACATCGGTGAGTGGGGAAGTAAGCACTGTCCCCATGGCTCCAGCAGGAGAGGACAGCTGGACGTCCCCACCTGGTCCCCTCCCCATGTGCCTCCCTCCCTTTGCTGATCTGAGTCTATATCCTTTCACTGTAGCAAACCATGACCATGAACATAATGGCTTTTTTGGAGTTCTGTGAGTCCTCCCAGGAAATTAATGAGCTGGAGGGTGGTCTTGGGGAAGCCCCAGGCTGCAGCTTGTCTCAGGGCTGTCTCTGTGGGAAACCCAATTATGACGTCTCCACTTCATACAAATGTACTCCTCCACAATGTGTCGATAAATTGAAAACATGCTGTCAGTTCACCCGGGGAGCTTGAAATGTAGAGTGACTGAAAGACCCTTCCACCTAAGAATGAATTCTTAATTTCTCTTTTGGTACATCTGAGTTTTCATATAGACTTCTGAATTTGTACCTGACATGGATATAAAAAGCCAGTTTTTGATTACCTGCTGTTGTTGAAATGTACTGTCACTCCAGCAGTTGGCCACTCTGGGCTCCCTGGTCACACCTTGTTTCCAAGATGTCAGTAACACTTTCTGCTGGTGAAGGTGTATACAGCCCAGCAGACCGCTCCCTCCCATCTCCCCTCCCCTCCCCATCCCCACAAACATCCCAGGCGCAGAGCATCCCTGGAGCCCAAGGCAAGCTGCTCTCCTCACCCTGCATGTCTGTGACCAGGAGACACCCGCTTGTTTTCTGGTAGACCCAGTGCTGGAAGGTGCAGCATTTCTGACCAGCCTCTGATTCCCTTCTCAAGAAGTTTATTTCCTTCCCATCTCTGATGGAATACTTCACAAACTCTCCAATCAGCTCTTCCTCCACTGTTGCATATGGGATATTGTTCTTAGGTCGATGGATAAGAAAAATGGGAATGATCCTGGAAAGGAAGAGAACATGGACACGTATCGTGTTCTCAGATGGAGATAAAGGCTTTGGGGGCACTCCGTCTTCACCCAGAATAGCAGAATAAATCCCTGGGTCCCATTAGACTTAGACTAAAAATCCCCCCCTGGTGATTACTCAGTGGATGAAAAGGTGTGTTTATTTGTTCCTAGATTTGGTCAGAAAGTCCTCCTTGGGCTGGAGTTTACTTGCTCATGTAGAAATGAATGTCTTCATTATAGTTATATCTCAATGACCAGCTGGTCAGGTGACTACAATCCATCTATCCATCCACTCTTCCATCCATCCATCCTTCCACTCAGCCAAATATTCATTCAGTGGCTTCCATGTGTCAGAAGCTCTTCTAGACACTGTTCCAGAGAACAAAGGAGATCTGCAGGGGTCTTACATTTAAGTGAAAGAGACAAGGAAACGTATCGTGCTCTGTGCTGTATGAAATAAAGTAGGGGAGAGGAGACAGGGGATCTGCTCTTACAAGCTTATAAACAGCTCAAGAGGAGATCACCTAGTTAAATTCTGATCACCTTCAAGGGCTTAAAGTGGAAACAATGATGGCAGGCCTGAGGAAAGGTGAGATGCTAATTTTTGATGTTTGTTCATTTAAGACATACTTTTAATACGAAATGTTTGTCAGATGGATAAACTAATAGGTGTAAGTCCCTAGTGCAGGCCCCTGCGCACTGGCAATATATTTAAAAGGATCAAAAAGTAGGCTTCTGGAAGGGTCTAAGGCAAAAAAGGTGATGGTGTGGTGGTCACCTGCATCCAGTGGTCACCTGGGGGGGAGGGTAGCTGGTGGCAGTTCCTAGTAAGATGTCGCAGAGAGCCCTGCAGTGAGAAGGCCTCAGAGCGGCACAGATTTTGAGGTGGGATCTCAAAGTGAACATGTAGAACAAGCCTGTGAAACTCGGTGACCAAATCCAAGCTTAGGAAGGCATGCGGGCAGGAGGGCCAGTGGTCTCAGCCTCCCTTCAACAATACTGTCAAAGGTGCTACCATCACGTCTCTCCCCCGGGGGACTTGGGTTGGTAGGTCCCCTCTCCCAGTGGGTCGAGACTTAAGGCTCATCTCCTTCTGTGGAAGGGGGGCTAGAGCTGGGGGCCCTTGGGCGGGTCTGCGCTCACACACCAGGCAGAGCCACCGAGCTGGGCGGTTCTCCCTGAGCATCTGAGAGCATACAGCTTCTCCACCCACGTCCTGCCTTCTCCTGGGAGTTCTGCTGGGGGCTACGCACACAGGTCACCTTGAGTCAAAGACTGTAATATAAACAGGTTTCCCCAGTGCACACAGGGAGAGAAGAATGCAAAATTCAAGTGAATTTTTAAGATACAAAATGTATTTTAAAGAAGCAACTCTGCAGGCAGGTTACTTTGGACTAAGCCCCCAGAGCCGGTGAAGGATGCACATTTACCCTTCTCTACCATTTACTTCCGTGAAAAAAAGTGTGAAAGGCACAACTCCCTCCTCCATCCCATTTCAGATGCAGAAGGATAACCTCTCAGGAGTAGAAACCTGGACCAGAATAATGTCCTAGTAGGCTAGACCACTTGATGTCTTCCAACACCCACATCTCTGACCGCAAATCATGCTGGGAGTCTTTTTAAGCCTGCTTTCTACTTTTAGGATGGAAGTTTGTGTCTTGTTTTAAAGAAATCTCAAACATCAGCCAGATAGCTGACGGGCTCATTTGGGGTGGTGGGCCCTGCCCAGGACCCCCAGAGATCAGCCAGGGTCGCCCAACCTCCCGCTGACGTGCTTTGTCATTGTCAAGGTTGCCTCCTGAGGATGCCCTGAGGACAGCTGGCCACTGACCCTGCAGCAGAGCCAAAGAGTGCAGTTCACCCGGGTTCTCATTCATTCCGGAGCCCTCAAACAGCAGAAACAAGGGTGGGCCATTATTCACGTTAACTAGGCCTTGTCTCTGCCCAGAGGTGCCCTTCCTACATCCAACGCTAACGCCATTGACAGTCACGAATTCAAAGCCAGAAGCTGCAAGAGTGTGAAGACTCGTCTCTTCCAGACCCCGCATGCTCCATAAAAGGAAACTTTGGGGCTTACTTCAGGGTCTGGAAATGAAGATGGGGTGGGTGCACAGACCACAGCCCACCCTCTGGATGTGCAGGGATCCGCGGGGAGCCTTCCCTTCCCAGGCTGCTGGGAGCCCTTTCCCTTCACTGGCCTCTTCCTTCTGGGGGAAAAATGCTGACACCCCCTCCATTGTTCCGCCTCCCTCCTTTCACATCTCTGTGGCCCATGGTCCCCGCTGGGCCTCCCTGCATCCCAGCATCTAGAGGCTGACAGAGCATCTCAATTGTCCCCACCCCTACAGACACGTTCACACCCACTGCTTTAAAACCCAACTTCCTTTCATCTTTTCTAACATGGTTTCAAGTGTACAGGCCTTTCAGAAATGTTCCCAGTGCAGAGTCCTAACTTTGGTTCAAGGAACATGGAAATCTGGCACAGGTGCCCTCTGGAGGATCCTCACCCCTCTATCTCCTCCTCTCATTCGTGAGTCACAAGTTCTCCCATGGGAAGGAAGGGGACAGTGTCTGGATATCAGGACGTCCTTGTCTACCTCCAGGGCGGTGGCAGATTTGCCGGGACACTAATGAAGCTCCTGTGTCCCTCACCTGCACAGACCCTTTCCATGTCCCTGGACCGATCCTTCATAATTCTGTGTGCTTTTCCTCAGAAAGGCCCCCATGTTGTGCACGAGTCAACCACACACAAACCTGGGTGTGCCTGCCCGAGGCGCTGTGGTTCCACGCCCAGCGGACTGATTCCCAGGTTGACCCTACTCTTCCCCCCCACCAGGAACTAAAGAGGACAGAGGCCGGGAAGGGGGCTGGGAAAGCATGTGAGCAGGGGGGTCGGGGGGGGGAAGCTCATGACAGCTCAGTCCAAATGGCAGCCTCAGTGTATTTTACAGAAAAGTAGTTAAAAGTGGGGTTTTTTTGGTTGTGGGTTTTTTTTTTTTTTGTCATGATGTTTGCTTTTCTCAAAGCTGCTGAGAAATGTTTGTGTACTAAACATGTTAAGCATTTCTTGGAAAAGAGCAGCAGGCACCAGACTTTACATGTGGTCTGCCCAACACAACACCTCGGGGGGGGAGGTTCTTCCCATTTTGCGAGTTAACAGGCAGTGCAGACAAAGAATTTCTTCTCTTTCCCAGTTTCTACTGACAAGTGTCTGCTCTGCCTGAAATTTCCACTGTGCCCTGGTGCAGTCCTTGCTCTCCCCACTTATGATCAACTAGATAAACAGATCAGCAAACATGAGCTCCAGACATCCCCAAGTTTGCTTGGGCCAACAGAGTCAATGAGTGGATAAAAGTGATCAGTGTAGTTTACCTCCGTAGGGTCCTAGAAAGCGGGTACATGGTTCCTGTATTCCTGATCACCCCTGTTCACTCTTCCCTGAGGCAGCACCATATTTATTGTCATCATAGGACTGATCGCTTTGTGATATTCTCCTGTTTGCTTATATTTGTATATAATTTAGACAATGTAACATCCATAAGAGTAGATACATCCTTTTCTGTTTAACATGGTATATTGATTTTGAACTAATCCACCCATACACACATACATTTAAAGAATATTTATCAAGTATTTTTCTGTAAGCCTCTGGTGACTCAGTAAAGAACAGGATAGCCATGTGTGCTCTCCTGGAGCTTACAGACAGACCAGTTGAAAGGTTGTGTCCTACCGGTCCCTCTCACCCCCCCAGGGCCCCCAAGTCCCCATCAAGTCAGAGGTGGGCACACAAGAGGGCACTGCACTTACTCTGGCACTTCTCCAAAGCCCTCCAGAGGCCGTGCTTCAGCAGCATAGATCTCAGCATAGTGTCTGGCGGTGTTCTGCACATAGCATTCCTGCACCACCCAAACACATGGGAAAGGCCGGAGATTAGAGGAGATTCAGAGAGCGCTGCCCAGCAAAACTTATCAGATCGCCCAACATAGGTCGAGCCAATGGATTCCCAAACCCATCTCTTGGTTGGGGGGCACAGAAGCCAACAGTGAATGTAATCTAGTGCTAGCCACTCACAGAGGGGCTCTGAGACCTGAAGAAACCATCCAAAGGCCCAGTGGTCTCTGGGGCCAAGTTTCCCTGAACTATAAAATTTCTAGAACCCCCATGGCTGAAGCTCACCCCTGAGCTGGGAGGACTGTCCCCTGGGCAGGATGTCAGATAAAGAGTGGGGGCTGCTGGGCTTCCCCGTGAGCTCTCCCATCTGAGGCTCTTCTTCAAACGTGTAAAACTTGAGTTGTAAGTAGTGAACACCTCACCAAGACTGCTGGCTTAGGGAAAGCAAACTGGATTCTGCTTTCCACTCTGTAGGGCCTTTCCCAGTGGGAGTCTGGATGATGGGGGATTTTTCCACAACTGGGCCAGGTGGCATTTGAGATGGAAGAAACACTCAGTGAAAGAAAAAGAGAGGAATGGATTTGAAAGAGAAAGCAGTGTACAACTTGTAAAAATCCTATGCTCGGAGAAGAGGGGCTGTCTTCATGAGCACCGAGTCCCGTAGGACACTGCCACCTCTGAGATAAGCATGGCTAGGTAGTGCCTGAGAGCCCCCACCCCCTCCAGCCCTCTCTCAGTCTAGCCTGCTCATTTCATAGGTAATTTTTAAATGATACCCAGCTTGTGAAAGAGTGCGACCAGCCCTCCTGAAAGCTCGGCCAGCACTGCCATCAAGAGTGAAATTCACAGACCAGGGGGAAAGGGAGGCAACAGGAGAAGCTCATGCGCCCCTCCCCATCCCTCTTGCCAAAAGGGCAACTCAGGTTCAATAACACAGAAAGGAGGGAACTTAGGGACTCCCCTCATAGCTTATGGGCGGACATTGAACCTAATTCAGAGGCAGGAAACAGGACAAATGCTGACCCTTTTGAGTGTACCTCCACTCCTTGCTCTTCCCTAAATAAACCAGATTCCAGGAGCGACTTCTCATTTTAGCTTCCTTGGGGATTGCTGGGAACCCTGGCATCCAGGGCAGCTTAGCACCCCCGCTCTAATTTCATCCTGTGTCAAAGGAGATTCAGACCCCCGGGGATCTGCTAAGGCACCCTAGGAACAGAAGTGACCCCAGCCTAGGTAGGATTCCGAACAAAGGCCAAGCCCAACTAGCGGGCATGAGGCCAATAAAGCACTCAGAAGGGAGATGAGATTTCCAGCACTCAGCCTTAACTAGGCTCTCTCACAACACACCCGAAAGGAAGGAAAACACCTTCTTGGAGACACTCCCAGTTCTGAGTCAGGTTTCATGGGTCCATCTCACACCCCAGGCAACACCTTTAGGGTAGGTGGACCCACCTGGGCTGCGAGCTTGTAGTTCCTCTGGATGAGCTCATCATTGTTTCTGGTCCCGTAGGCGACGGCATTGTGCACCTTAAGCACACAGGCGTGGCCGGGCTGGAAGACCGGCATGAGGCCCTGCATCACTTTGCTGCGGAAGGCTTTTCGGTGGACCCCTTCTCCAAAGTGCAGCTCCTCTGTGGCGATCTGACCATGCAGGCGACCCCCAAAGTAGCTGTCATTGAGGAAGTCTTCTCTGAAGATGAGCTGGCTGAATTCAATCTCTTCATAGCCTGAAACAGCACAACTTTAGTTGGACAGAACATCCCCCAACCCCACTCCTTGGCTAACGAACATTCGCACATATGGACAATGACAAGGTTGATTTATAGAATCTAGGAGGGGCAGCCACCCTGAACTCCCAGCAGAGGCATAGCTCAAGGGGAAGATGTGGGAAATGGGTCACTGAGGGGGCTGGAGGAAGACCAGTGTGAAGCCTCAGGGGACGGGATGAGATAGAAGATTGGTTGGAGCAAAACTGGGAAGACCAGGAGAACTGTGGACAGATCTGGAAAATATAGGCAGAACCACACAAGGTAACTAAAGGCAAGTTGAAAGGATGGAGAAGCGCAGGAGAGAGGAAGAACCAAGGATAAGATCTGCCAGATCGATGCTTCCCATTTTTTTTTTATTACTGCTCCCTGCAAGGATTCTTTCTAGCCTTTCCCCCCCTAATTGCTCCCCCTAAAATTCTAACACCACAGATGTACTGTATGTCTGGTTACGTACTGTGGTCTAGCTGTGCTTAATACACAAGCAGAACGGTTTCTTTTGCCTCCCCAAGATCAGTTTTGCCCTCCTGGGGGTGATACTGCCTCCCTGAGAATGCCTGTGGGAGATAAGAAATAGGTGGGCAAAAACCAAAACAAAAGTAAAAACTCCCTCTAAAGAGAAGTTGAAATGTTTCAAATGACAATGGATTCAGTCAGAAGTTCCCATTTTCAGCTAGAGATGACCAAGCCAGACTTCTGACTGGCTGAGAAGAAAGCAAGATGGCTTTCAATGAAGTATTTTTGAAAAACACCTTCTGCGGGGAGCCGCTCATGACGGAGGGCTGCCGA